TATATATATATGTGTACGTTTTTAAAAGGGTTAGTCCTCTGTGAGGCAAAACGTTTCTTTAATGGCGTAGATTTTTCTTGAGCTGATGTCGTGTCACGGGGGATCTGATTGATATAAGGGACCTTTATCAACGAGTTGAGCTTTATAAAACAAGAAACAATATTCAACAAGTCTATTCAATATGCATTTCTATTCTGGTATTTTGTGGGGTTTGCTTGTCTTTTTTCGACGTGCGTAAACTGGAGATCATTATGTGCCTTTTACATGTATACGACTGAAAATATCCGTTCCAAAATGTATGTATTCTACACGACGATGTTTAAAAGAATAACTTTTTGGATAATGGCAACAACAAAAAAACGCATGCTTAAATAATAAAACCCCACATATTCAATCGCGCGCAGTTCAAGCTCTTAATATCAAAAGTGACGTCCTTGACGTGACTCCCTGCCTATTTGATTCATCCTGATGATGACGACACAATAAGGTGAGCGTGACTTTGCTCACAGCAAATGGAATGTCGGGACTGAATTCAGCTGCATTTCTAATGCTCCATCACAACAGCTGATGATGGCGCATTCCCTCAACAGAACCCCGCAGAACCTCTCAAATTCATAAGTCCATAAAAGAACAAAAACGTTACACCAAAAAAAGACCATTATGGGTATAACACACTCTAAAAAATGCTGGTTAAAATAGGGACAAGCCCAGCAATTGGGTTGTTTTGACCCAGCGGTTGGGTTACTACCCAGAAGGTTGGTTTAAACATTTAATCCAACCGCTGGGTCAAAACAGCCCAATTGCTGGGTTTGTTCCTATTTTACCCAGCACTGGGTTGTATTTAACCCAGCATTTTTTAGAGTGCAGACTAGAATAGAACAGAATGCATGGGGCGTTACGTTGTGAATTGTGTGAACTTGCATCCCACATATTGATAACCAAACCGATAAGTTTCCCCCAGAAAAGATTAATAAATACAAAAGCATTTAACCCAGGCTCATTTAAATATGACCTTAAATACATCAGTTCAAATGCAAATCTTTACACATCCATATGAGAAATGCCTTGGACAGCAGCGCGTTACACAAATAGATACCAGAGCAAACCTATATTTTTGTTGTTAAGTGAGAAAATGGTTTACAAGTGGATTTATTTCAGCTTTGATTTGGCCCTGGAGTCGAGGAAGAAAGCATTTCATTGCATCTGAGTGCAAGACATTCAGCTGAGCAAAGCAAAGCAATGCTGTGAGAGTGCAATACACGCTTAAGAACAAAAAAACATCTAATTCATGACGGGACCAACGCCGTGGCAATAAACACAAAATACATTGATGGGTTTTCCTTAATTCGATTTGAGGACGCATTTAATTCTTGATTATTATCGTTTGCATTTACTGAACCAAAACGGAGAGGGCCAGATAGAAAATAATAATAATAATAATGAAGGCAGCATACTGGACGGTGAATAGAAGTACTTTAACTATGCATTCTGATCGTATGATGTCCATGCAGTATTAGAGACATTCAGAAGAAAACGAGGGTTTATTCACACGCTGCGTTTCAATTGCTCTCTGGCAGAAAACACACAAAGAGACTCGTATTTTTACAAGACATCGAATAACGAACGAGAAAGAGTCGCTGGACGTGAAGATAATGAAAAGGAGAACGAAAACTCGTCGGAATCTCCAGAAGAAATCATGGAAAATAGCTACAAAACAACCCAAATCACTAAAATTCAATTTTGAGCATTGCGTTGTTTATCGGATATCAAATGTCGTAATTTAAAACTATTAATAATGTTCATGCTCCCCTCGGTTGGATCGAAATCAAGGGACTTGCATAAGACATTTTTTCATTTTGTGCAATCCAATGGGTGCTGTGGAAATGTTATAAAACCGTATGTGTTGTGTTGTTGTGGTTTAAAAGATGGAATGTATATCACAAAATCGTTATCATATATCGTGAAAATGAATATATTGACGAATAAAGAAACGCGTGGATAACTGTTTTTTTTTTTTTTTGGTTTTGTGTGAAGCACGTGCATCTGTTTCCCTTCAAAGCAGAATAAATCTACAAAACAATAAATCAGTCGAGTCCACCTCTCAGAGATTTATTCCAAACTAGACTGCACATCCATCAGAAACAGGCTCACAACATACTATATTACATCATTTATACATCTGTTGTTGTTAAATGGGGAAATGCATTTTCAAGAATCCTATTTTCTGATAACTACTGAAATAGAAAAATAAAAGCCATATCTGATGCATTCCAGCTGACTGCGCAAATATGCTATTGCTGATCACAATTACGGTTGGAAAAATAGGGCAGCTTTAATTCAGTAAATATTAAAAATAATGACCGCAGTTAATAAATGCATTACATATTGTCCTATGGATATATTTATTAAATAAATTATAATGCAAAAAATAAATGCAACTTGTCACTCGTGTTTCATCCGGAGCAACAGCCAATGACAGAATGAAGTGAAATCATACAGAAAATATTAGACAGACTTTTGCCCTCGGCTCTGATTCCGCGGGAAAAAAACATGCGAGCACTCAGTCAGACATCTGGACGGAGTGCTTCTCAGTTACTGGGGCTAATGTGGTTAAAAAAATAAAAATGTAGATTTTATATATGCACAAAATATTTTTGCATGACAATGTATTGCACCATCATCGTCTAAGGAGACATTTAAGACCGTTTCTATATGAACGTAATGAACGCCTGTGGAAAATGTTGGCAAATGTGGGTCGTGGTGCATTGTGGGAATTCGAGTTCAACCAGAGGAGCCATTTTCTCATTACTGGACCACCTGAGAAACTGTGACTGTAGCGACACCTGGTGGCAACATGAGATACTGCCGAAAACAAGACGAGAGTGCTGTACATAAACATGCTCAACATTTCACAGGGTTAGAAAAGTACAGCCGCTACCGTTTGAGCTTCCCCACACAGAACTTTTAAGTTCACAGAGAAATGCCTTTTGAAGCATCTAAACATTTACGGAAACTGACAAGATCGCTTTTTTGCAAATGGACTGCAGTGCTAATGTGTTGTTAACTGTGTCCAACAACAACAAAAATGCCAGATTATATTAATATTTTGTTAAAGATTGTTTGCAATTGACAGAACGAACGGAAAATAAATAAATCTGTATTTACTCACCCTCACTGTCGCTCCAAGCCGTGTCAAGTAACACATTTGAGAGAGATAATTAGCAGAATTTCATTAAGTCTAAGTCCAAAGCCTATCAAACTTAAAAAAAAAACACTATAAAATAAAGTAATAGCAGAAATTCACGTAGTTATTCGCTGAGAATCCGCGCTTAAATCTCAAGCCTGCATATTCAAATTTACAAACGGTCAACGGTCACTTCGTGTGGCGCGAAATGTCCTTAACTAGCATAGCGGCTGGTTATAAACGGTTAACATGATGGTTTTATCCTGTGATAAAAACATCACATCTACTGATAATTGAGCATTATAAAAAATATCCATGTATTTAATATAAAAATTAAAAAAAGGCCATTCAACAGTATATTAAAGAAATTTATTCCCAAACACAAAAAGCGAAATACATGAAAAGTTCTATATTGAGGTCCTCACAAACATTCACATTTATACCATTTCATCATTCGGTTGCACTGTGGAGCTTCCGTCACTAAAACAAATTCCTCGTATGTGTAAACATACCTGGCAATAAAGCTCATTCTGATTCAAGTAGTGGTTAAAACTTTACAATTTGTGTCTTAATTACATATTTACAAATGCATGTAAATTGTAGCATGTTAACAGCACAACACATAACAACAACATACAAATCATAAAGACATTCCCAAGAGTGGCAGCAAAGACCATCCGACGAATTACTGCCACGTTCTGGTCTGAAGAGCGAGTCTGGTCCTCAGTCGCTGGCTGGCGTGTGAGTGGTGGGCTTCTTGGAGGAGTTCTCCAGCACCCACGGGTGCTCCATGACACCCTGGATGGGGAGCCGGTGCATGGGGTTGTGCTTCAGCAGTCTGTTGATCAGGTCTCTGCTGGCCTCGCTCACGTGAGCCGGATAGGTGAACTCAGCCTGGAGAGAAACAGACATGCTTTGAGGACGTATGAACACCTGAATCAATCAAGACTGAAACATGACAACAGTGAAAGCCTACGAGACACAATAAACACACATTCACATCAGACAGACTGAAGATTATCTACATTAAATAGGTAAAAAAATTATTTAGAAAAATGTCAGCTGATCTTGACGACACATTTTCCCAAAAGTAGAACATAATGTATTCAAATTAAATTAACTAGAGCCTCTGATCACTCAGTTTCTTTTAATGCGATTGTTTATCACATTAGGCATCTTTTACAGCATATACGTGACCCCTCTTAAGTCGCTGGGGTATATTTGAGGCAATAGCCAACAATACATTGTATGGGTCAATTATAGATTTTTCTTTTATGCCAAAAATCATTAGGATATTAAGTAAAGATCATGTCCCATGAAGATATTTTGTAAATCTCCTACCGTAAATATCAAAACTTAATTTTTGATTAGTAATATGCATTGCTAAGAACTTCATTTGGACAACTTTAAAGATGATTTTCTCAATATTTAGATTTTTTTGCACCCTCAGATTTTCAAATAGTTGTATCTCAGCCAAATATCGTCCGATCCTAACAAACCATACATCAATGGAAAGCTTATTTAGTCAGCTTTCAGATGATGTATACCTCTCAATTTCGAAAAATTGACCCTTATGACTGGTTTTGTGCTCCAGGGTCACATATTAACCTAGTTTAAGGTTAACTTCTACATATTAACATTTAATATTGTTAATTATTTTTATGACACATTCAAAATTATATAGATCAATGAGGAACAGTGCATTTTTAAAATAACATTAGCCTAAATTAATAACAGGTGTTAAACTTAATGCATTAATGTTATCAAATTAACTGCACCGTAAAGTGTTATCACAATATTAATGCATATTGTTTCAAATTTATTTGCCAATGCATGTGTCTTCTCAGAAAGAAAGAAATGCAACAGTCTTACGTTAATTTTAATTATTTTGTAGATTAACATACTACTGAAAAGCACAGATCACCATTTTCAACGTCTTAAACAGAAGCAACAAAAGAATAAAGATTCTCAACTTCGACGTTCTGATCATCTGTGCAAAGCTAGTGGAAGTTTATGAACATTTCACTTACTCTAGAAATCTTGCGGTACGTTTCTTCATGGCTCTTGGTTTCGAAAGGTGGATGGCCAACCAGAAACTCATAGCAGAGCACTCCGAGACTCCACAGATCCACCTTCTCGTCGTGCGTTTTGCCTTCAATCATCTCTGGAGGAAGGTAGTCCAGCGTACCACACAGCGTCGACCTCCTGACAGACACATGATAAACGCACGTTAACCCTAAACCAACACGCAAACACGGACAATATGCTGCACTTTAACGGTAAATGAAACCAACACTGAGATGCACAACACCAAAGCTATGATTACACCTGACTGACCTGGAGGACGGTGTGTGGACGGACCATCCGAAGTCTGCGATCTTCAGCTCTCCATTGGCCCCCAGCAGCAGGTTTTCAGGTTTGATGTCTCTGTGAATCACGTTCTTTGAGTGGCAGTAGCTCAGAGCGTCTGCGAGCTCCATTATATACTGCAAGCAGACATTATTATGAGATTTATCAGTCCTCATGCATTAATCGTGAGCATTCGACACGAGCGCACAGTGGTTTCTTACCGTTGCACTTCGCTGGTCGTCGAACTTCCCGCAGCGCTGGAGCTCTCCATACAGCTCTCCTTTAGGAGCGAACTCCAGGATGAGATAAACGCGCGCCGCGTCGTGGAAATAACCGTAGAGACGCAGGATATTGGGGTGTCTGAAAAGAGACAACGAGTTCAACACGCAGATCGTACTTTCTGAATGCATGCATCTCAGCGTCTTAATGATTCCCAGTTACAATTCCAATAAAGTATAAAAAAAAAATTACGTAAAGCGTTTAGATATCAAACATATATGTGACCCTGGAGTCTTAAGTCGCTGGGGTATATTTGTAGCAATAGCCAACAATACATTGTATGGGTCAAAATTATAGATTTTTCTTTGATGCCAAAAATCATTAGGATATTAAGTAAAGATCATGTTCCATGAAGATATTTTGTAAATCTCCTACCGTAAATATATCAAAACTTAATTTTTGATTAATAATATGCATTGCTAAGAACTTAATTTGAACAACTTTAAAGATGATTTTCTCAATATTTAGAATTTTTTGCACCCTCAGATTCCAGATTTTCAAATAGTTGTATCTCGGCCACATATTGTCCTATCCTAACAAACCATACATCAATGGAATAATATTTATTCAGAAAAAAAAAGATTTCGAAAAATGGAAATTGGCAAAACACTGTTGCAGCTGAATACCATGAACAAAAATCAGCAGCCTAAAAACATTTACAAGGGACTTTTGCTGTGGTGTTTTTGTTAAAACCGTAGACTAACTAATATTGATTTCAAACATTAAAAATGTTTGAACAATAAGAACAAATGAGCGAATTAGTAATAGCAGCAGTAAATACAACCAAACAAAGTTCAGGTACAGAAATTTAAATATAATCAAATGTAAAATAACACTGCATAGGTTTCTTTTAATAAATAAAATATAGATTAATTCTTAAAGTTACAAAAGTTATTCAGGGAAGATCAATAAATGATTGAAATATTTGTCCTCTGGTTCTCCGAAACGGACGTAAGAAACCATCACAGGCACCGCACGTGAAAAATTATTTCCCGACTGAGAAAATGCACGTGAACTCAAGTCGGAAAGCTCTAATAATACAAATCCAACACATCTTTGTAGTAACGCGAGTGTCCATGTTGTTTTCACATTCCGACTTAAAAGCACAACTCGGGATTTGAGAGCATCGAGGAGCGCGTGAATGCAGTAATCACACTTGCTCTGACGGCAGAAGCTTCCGTTAACTAAGCTAAACATGCTTAAATTAAAATGCCTAAAGAGTGTTTATTGTCTTTGTTTTATCATTCAAAACGTTTATATGTTCTGTTTACTCAGTTACAGCTATAATAGCCATGCCTTTGTCCGTACAAGGGATTTCCTGGAGGGTCATGAGTTCTCTACTTCTGTGACTGGAAACCAAACGATACCCAACCCTATCTAACGACTCCGGAGTGATAAAAACAGGCAGATGGTGAGAACTTGTACCTGAGATGTGACTGGATCTCCACCTCTCTCCGCAGCTGGTGCTCCACTCCGGCTTTCTCCAGCTGCTTTTTGAACAGGACCTTGAGCGCCAGGATGAACTTGGTCTGATGTTCCCTGGCTAGATAAACACTCCCAAACTTGCCTTTGCCCAGAGCTCGGCCAATGTCGAAATTCTCTAAACTCCACGCTTTCCTAGAGACGAGAAAAAACACAGATTATAATTCTTATCACCCGACACCTGTGATTTCATGCACCAATTCGGATGAGTTTATTACGGAGGTGGCTCAGTTTAAAATCACAAAGTACGTCTGTGAAACACAAATTTCTCTAACGTCCCCCTGGAAAACTAGTCCCGTCCGAATAGGGCTTTAGAGTCAAAGGTTTTTCCAGAGGAGATTTTGGATTTCTCTTTTTATCACTTCATAGATGAGAAAACACTCAACAGACAGAAAACAAACACATTCTCACCATGTTAGGAATAAAATGTTGTAAATTTAAATAGTAAGACACTATAGGGCTGTTACCAATCAAATGAAATCAGTATCAACAAAATTTGTTTGCGCAGTGCAGAGGTAGCACAGAATCTGCATCTGAAGTGGCGTTTAGATGCATTCACACAGACTGTTTAATGCAGGACATGATTGCAGTTAGCCCGCAAATGCATAATGTTTAGATGTTTTAAAAACAAAACGTTTAATAATGATATTTGAAATTATTTTGGGGAGAAAAAAGGGATACTTTATACGTAATACACTTTAAATATAAACCTAAATTCGCCAGTAGGTGGCGGCAAATCACTGCATGAGTGAGTCATGGAGTCATTCATTCAACCGATTCGTTCAAACAGCAGATTCATTCAGTAACGAAACACAAAACTGTTCTGCTGTGGCTTTGTTAGAAACTATTTTCGTTGTCACAAGGAACTTGTGTCTAAAAAGTCAATTAATATTAACTTGTTTATTGGATTGTTTTATAAAATCAATATCACACTTGCAGTCGTACTGATATTTGGAGAAAAAAAAAAAAAATGATTGCAGTTAGCCCGCAAATGCATAATGTTTAGATGTTTTAAAAACAAAACGTTTAATAATGATATTTGAAATTATTTTGGGGAGAAAAAAGGGATACTTTATACGTAATACACTTTAAATATAAACCTAAATTCGCCAGTAGGTGGCGGCAAATCACTGCATGAGTGAGTCATGGAGTCATTCATTCAACCGATTCGTTCAAACAGCAGATTCATTCAGTAACGAAACACAAAACTGTTCTGCTGTGGCTTTGTTAGAAACTATTTTCGTTGTCACAAGGAACTTGTGTCTAAAAAGTCAATTAATATTAACTTGTTTATTGGATTGTTTTATAAAATCAATATCACACTTGCAGTCGTACTGATATTTGGGGAAAAAAAAAAACCGACTCTTTGTGTGATATTAACTATATCAGTCAAAAGTCATATGTGCCCCCTTATCTTGAATTTTGGGGAATTCTAAATGTATTTTAATAGACTAAATCACGCAGTGAAAGCGTGAACTCAAAATGCACACGCGCAGTAGTGTAACCTACATCTCAGTGTGCGCGCGCGCTCTGGGTGTGTTTTTGTGATATACTCGATAATGTCAAATCACATATCGTTTAAACAATTACGATATTATCGTAGACGACATATCGCACACCCCTATGTGTAAGAGAAAAAAACTCTTTAAAGATATGGATTGAGATTGAAATAGATTTTAAAGTGTAATAAAATAAACACTTAAATGTGTATTTTGGGTGTTTTCTTTCCACTAGTATGGAAGATGACATGTTATGGAAGCAAAATAGACCAAAAATCCCAAACTTGATCAGTACATGAAAAAATGTTTATGCCTGTAGTGTCATTTTAAAATGGCTTTGAGGTGACAACTGCACTTTTAAGTGTGAATACCTCAATCAACATCATAGAAAATATAAAATGTAAATGCCTTACTTGGCAGTATTGGTTGTTCCAGTGGAAGGAGTTTCTGGAAAGCAACAGAAAGAATGATTATAATGTTCTCAGTGTGGCGTAATGTTATAAGATCAGACGTATCTGCAGAAGTCGCGCTTACGCTGAGGTTTGTCCTGGTTGCTGGGTTCAGTAGTTTTTGAAGGCTCAGCTACAGGAACTGGCTTTGGCTGCGGTTTGCTCGGTGTTCTTGTTTTGAGTTGATGTGGATTGACGTTCTGGTCTCCGGGACACGTGGGTTTCACAGGAACTCCGACGGGCTTCTGCTGACTCGCGGGGCGCTGCGGTCCCTGTGCCATGCGGAGAACATGCGTGTGAGGCGTCGACACGGGCTTCTGACCGCTCTGGGTCACCGGAACTCTCTTGGGTCCACCGATAGAAACCTGCAGAACACGAACACAACATACATGCATCAAAAACAGCTACATGCACACGTGTTTTGGAAAAAATTAATCACTGTAATAACTAGTGTTGTCAAAAGACCCGGTACTTCGGTACCAAGTCGGTACTAAAAAAAATGAAATATGGATATCATTTTCATTTCATCTTGCCTGTAATGCCTGAGCAGCACTTATTTGATTACAGCGTTACCGGGGAAACCTCTATCTCTGCCGCTCTACAAGCACCTCCTGCTGGCAGAGAATGAATTTGCATATATATGCCACCACAAATAGAGTGCAAGTCTGTGGGAAACACCGCTTCTGTTATGAATATTACTCAATATTTTAATTAGAATGTCGGATTGAAATGAACATCGCTGTTATTAGAGTAGTTAATCGTTAGCATAGGTGCGGCTAACGCTAATATAATGAGCATTAGAATGAAGTTTCTTTATTAACTATTTAATGCTCCTATAACTTTTATTAGGGTAAAAAAAACAGGAGGACATGATGATATTTACTATTTTTACACACCAGAGGCTTTTAAATGAGTAGTGAATCTAAAATATGCGTGTTAGAGAATGTACAAATGGTTAACATTGTTTGCGTCATCAGTCAGAAAAGCAGTTCTGGGCTTTTATTAATTTATTTTAGCTAACTTAGTTGTTATTCTTGGCTGAATAACTCTAGAAGGTCTTAAAAGCCCTTTAAAATTAAATATGTACACAGTTTGGATTAAATGGACGTAGTCACATTTTTGTAATTAGCATGTTTTTGTGTTTTGCTTTGGTACCGAAATTGGATAAATAACATCTGGTAAAGCGACTACCAATGAAAACTAATTTGGGTACATTTACATTCATGAATGTTGATTAATGTACATCGTCCCTTTTTTGGAACGAAATAAATAAAATGGAAAAAAGCTGCATGTTTCATTGTATCAAAGATATAATCGTGTATCCATTGTTTTTTTTTCTCACTTTTTTTCTGTTATTTTCAAACTGCCTTGCAAACAAATAAAAGCATACTATTTACTTTCGAGCAAATACAGATCTGAGCACGAAATGTAGTATGTAACTGCATATAGACAACAAATGAAAACTATTTTAACTGTGACGTTACAGGAAATTATATTAAATATCATATTATTTAAATATTCAAATTATGATTTCGGTTGATAGACGATTGCATAACGTATAAAAACACACAATATGCAGACTTCTGGAGAATAAATACACAAGTTTATAACAATATACTGTCAAATACCTTCTCATTTTCAGGAGGTTGAATCTTCAGGTCTTTGCTCGATTTGGTTCTTGCAGCAGTTTCCATATTCTGAGTTTAAACAACGACATATTATTGGAATACATATAATAAACGCATCACAACAAAACACCTCAATCACATCATTAACTAAAGTACACATTCAGTCCAATAAAGAACTAATATAACGAGTGAGGCCTGACGCACGACGGCACCCGTTCACACTAACGTTTCCATCAAAACGCATGCTGAAAACTCAAATCTATTTAAAACAACGAACCTTTTCAAATTAAAACCTTTAAAGAAATGAATGTCAATAATACAGCGTTTAGTCGTCAGTAACGTCCACGACACAAATCCGACAGAAACGCGATGATTTCCAGCTCGCTGTGTTAATAACCTGTAACCATTCGCTAAACCAGCCGTGTGTGCTATTTAATATTGAGAAAAATCATTAATATAGATTCATTTATGTTTAATCCTCGAGAGGACGAAGCGACTCTCCTCAGCGGCTGCGATTCTGGCCCGTTTAATTTCAAATATCCCACTTTTAAATACCTTTAAATATTATCTGACTTTGATTGGTCAGATGGAGCTGTAAACTGGAATCCTATTGGTTGCTGGAGAATTCGTCATGTGACGCAAGCGAAGCCGTGAAAACGCATCGTTGTAGAGCGGGAATGACCAGTAGGTGGCGCGAAAGGTCATCACACACATTACAGAATATATTATATTATATTTTATACTCTATAGTATATTACTCTATATACGCCTGAAGACAAACTCACACTAGATTCAGGGGCGTGAGCCAAAAGTACATGTTGCACTATATTATATTAAAATATATTACATTTAAAATTAAATATTTAAATGTAATTTTTTAAATCACATTCACTTTTTTATATTTCAATGCAAAAATAACTAAAAAAT